ATTCTAGACCAGCCTATGTCTAAGCACACTAGAGAATTGGGCTGTTGGTCTGAGCTCCGAACTTGGCAATTTGGTTGTAAACATTTGGTCACCATTCGAGGAGATGTCGTCAGTGCGTTTTGAGTTGTGTTCGTCTGGCCGAACATTGGCCTTTCAACACCTTTTTATATGAGGCAAATCAGTGTGGGTGTTGTTTGTTCAGATACTTCGAAGTCATGGTCTGATTCTGGACTGTTCTATTGGATGGCTGTTGTTACAGAGATGTGGTCTTTGGTTTTAAGTACTGTCTGTGTGATGTAAATTACGGTTAAGGTGAATGAATGAATGAATGAATGAATGAATGAATGAATGAATGAATGAATTCTTTATTGTCCAAGTGTGATTAGACACACAAGGAATTTGTCTTGGTACATATGCTATCAGTATACATAAAAAGAAAAGATACATTCATCAAGAATCATAAGGTACAACATTAATTGGTAGCCATAGAGTACAAATAAGCAATTAAATCATGCTAGGAAACAGTCAATATAAATCATAAGGATACAAGCGACAAAGTTATACTCATACAGTCACAAGTGGGAGGGGATGGGTGATAAGGACTGATGAGAATATTAATAGTAATAGTAGTGCAGACTTTGCAAATAGTTGGACAGTGTTGGGAGAATTAGTTGTTTAGCAGAGTGATGGCATTTGGGAAAAAACTGTCCTTGTGTCTAGGCAGTTATAGAGGTGCAGATGACAGACTGAATAATTTAACTAATAATTTAACTCATTTTAATCACACAGTACTTAAAACCAAAGAGCCCTTATAAACCAAGTTTGAAATGGCTCCCCTGGTTTCTAGAAAAGGAACCTCTCTGAATAGTGGGCCACAGAATGCTGGCTTGTCTTTCATCCTGTATTTTCTTCTGCAATGGGCCATTTATGAGTTGACAAGCTCCTTTTCCTGGGGCAGCCATCTTTTCCCCCTCCTCGCAATGTGATTACAGTCCATTTCATTCCATAATAGGTTCCTTTTATTATTCCCCGAGGCACGCAAATCAGATTTTGCTCGATACCAAAGATTTTGTTCTGGGCTGAAGGCTGGCTTCGAGGGCAGGGAGAAGGGTTTGAGGGAAGGGGAGGAGGGGATGCTGATCCAACCAGGGGGAAATATAATGGCCCCCTCCCCCTCTCTTTTAAAGTAAACATCTGTCCAAGTTTATTTGCTTCATGAAATGGAGGGATGGATCCTCGGAGAAAGAGCGTGATAAAAGAAGGACAGATTCCCCCCCCCCCAATTATAATTTTCTATATCTAAATATTTAATTAGTTCCTTCCTCCCTGCGTCCCTCCTCCCCTCTCTTCCTTGTTCTATTTTCTTTCTTTTTCTTTCTTTCTTCCTTCCTTCCTTTTTCTTTCTTTCTTTCTTTCTTTCTTTCTTTCTTTCTTTCTTTCTTT